TGGTATTCACAGGACAACCCTTAACAGACTGAAATATTATTTGATAAAATATTAAATTATTAATATTAAATATTAAATAATATACTCAGATTCATAATCACAAAATGGTGCTGTAAACATTTCTTGCTGTTTATTTGAAGGTTGATGTGGATGTATAAATTAATGTCACTACAAAAACAACTTGAAGGTTTTATGTTAAGATGCTAACTTTAATTTGTAATAAAACAAAAGTTTATACATTACATGAAGTTTATACATTATATATCTATATATATATATATATATATATATATATATACAGTAATGTGCAAAAGTTGTGAAAAAAAATTTGTAACCAAAGAATGCTTTCAGAAATGGAAGTGTTAATCATTTATTTTCAACAATAATCAACAAACGCAGTGAATGAACAAAACAGAAATCAAAATCAAATCAATATTTGGTGTGACCAACCTTTGCCTTCCAAACAGCATCAGTTCTTCTAGGTATACTTGCACACAGTTTTTGAAGGAACTCGACTGGTAGGTTGTTCCAAACATCTTGGAGAACTAACAACAGATCTTCTGTGGATGTAGCTTTCTCACATCCTTCTCTCTCTTCATGTAATCCCAGACACACTGGATGATGTTGAGATAAGGGCTCTGTGGAGCCATACCATCACTTCCAGTAAGTCTTGTTCTTTACACTGAAGATAGTTCTTAATGACTTTGGCTGTCTGTTTAGGTTCACTCACTTAGCATTTAGTAAATTGATAAAAATAAACAGTCATCATTTATAATTTTTGAAAGCATTTTTTTGTTTACAGCATTTTTTCACACTTGCTTAATACTTTTGCACAGTACTGTATATACTATTGCCCTCGGGAAGCCCAACCGGGGACATTTTGTTTGTCAGGCAGATTTCTAAAAAAGTTTTAACTGTAATTAGCCAAATTATGTTTCCTCTTGTTTATATAACAGTCAACGTGTACATTTCTCACATAGACTATACATATAGACATTAAATGTCCAGGGTTATTGCAGATCTGACCTATCAACCAATACAGTCAGAGAGGCCAAACTGAGATGGTTTCGACATAGGAGGAGAGACAATGATCATCTCTTTAGAAGGATGGCAGGAGGTTGACAGTAAGAGAACATTGTTAGTTGGTGTGAGGGTAGGAATTCCTCTGTTTCTAAAAGAAAAAATAAATTTTTTGGATGATAATTCTATGTAGTTTTGGGGCTGTGCATGTGGAAGGATTTTTGCTGATACTTGTTTTACTTTTAGTTATTTGTTATGATCAAAATCATAGCAACAAGGTGAATTACAATCAGGAGCAGCAGATTGACATCGCAAAAGCAGAGATATTTCCACAACTAAGTATCTAAAATGTAGTATTGTCTCACTGAAAAATGGCTGCATGTCCCCATCTCCAACATCTACCTTCCAGGATTCCTGAATATAAGAGCAGAAAGAGATTAAAAAAGGAGTGGGAAAGGAGAAGGAGGTTGATTAGCAGTGCCTGTTAATGACAGATATGTGTAGGATATGTTTCTGTGTTGTCTCTGCAGCCCAGATATTGAACTCTTAGCAGCTCCGTCCATATTATTTACCAAGAGAGTTCACCAGTTTTATTTTCACTACAATTTGCATTCCACCTCAGCTGTTGCCAACATTGTATGTGACCCACAGCTTTCCTGTCACACCTTAGATGTTTTATTTTCCAGCGCAATCATAGTCGTTTCAGCTTCTACATGTTTGTCTTTGACAAACTCAGTAGATGCTGATACTCCCTTTGCCTCCCCTTCCCATTTGTGTGTCTCAAGAAGTCAGTTGAAGAGACAACAGGAAAGACTGAACCGGAATAAGGGTGCAGGTCCAGATCGTGTCAGCCCAAAGGCCTGTGCAGAGCAGCTCTGTGGGATTCTGCAGCACCTCTTCAACCTTAGCCTGGCCCAGAAGAAGGTTCCAGTGTTGTGGAAGACCTCCTGTCTTGTTCTGGTACCAAAGAAAACTCACCCATCAGTCCTCAATGACTATAGACCTGTTGCCCTGACATCCTACATCATGAAGATCCTAGAGAGACTCCTGTTGTCCCACCTGAGTAAGCAAACAATAAGCTATCAGGACCCCTTTCAGTGTGCTTATTGCTGTGGAGTTGGAGTTGAAGATGCCATCATACACCTGCTTCAACAAACCCACTGTCATCTGGACAAAGCCAGCAGCACTGTGAAGATCATGTTCTTTGATTTCTCGAGCGCATTTAACACAATCCAACCTGATTTGCTTTGTCAGAAACTCCAGAAGACTCAGTTTGTGAGTTTGTGAGACTGTAGATATGCAGTAAGATGCTGCATCTCCCTTCTGTTTAAACTAGCTTACTCCCTCTGATCACAGCTGCATTGTCTTTTTTTAATTGTATGGTTTAACTTTTTCTTTTTTAAATATCTTGTTTCTTTTATGGTTTATTGATGTAAGGTGACCTTGAGTGTCAAGAAAGGCGCCTATAAACAAAATGTATCATTATTATTATTATTATTATTATTATTATTATTATATCTTCTATAAGTCTATTGTGGACAGTGTGATCTCTTCTGCCATCATCTGTCAGGGTAGCAGCAGCATAGCCAGGGACTTAAAAAAGGCTCAACAACCTGATAAAGAAGGCTGGATCTGTGTGGACTAATTTGGAACCACTGGAGATGATGATGCAAAGAATGATTCTTCATAAAACCAAGAAAAGTATGGACAACCCTAATCATCCTCTTCATGAGACTGTCATACAATAACAGTGTCTTCTTCAGCCCTGACTGCTACAGGAGATCCTTCATGCACACAGCCATCAATGTCTACAACAGCTCTTTAAAGAAATTTCTATGAGTTACAACATCTTATTGCCCTTTCTGATTAATGAGGTATTTTGGAATTAAATTGAACTCTCTCTTTCCTTCTGATCTTTAGCTTTGAAACTCATGTTGATAAGTGAGATTTATTGCACTCTGTGTCTATCTGAGGCTTAGAGGAAACACAGGTGTTTCAGGTGTAACTTTTTCTTTTTTAGCAGGTGGGGGTCTCAGAATTTAGATGTCCCATAGAAACATAAATCTGTGCCTCGTTTGTTTTTTTCCCAGGCTTGTCTAATTATTTTCCTTTTTCTTTGTATTTCAATCCTAACATTGACCTTAAACATGTCGTTTATACTCAAACCCTTCAACGCAGCTGCATTTGATCGCTTCTGCAAAGGAAAGTACATCAGAATTCCTCAGTGGTGATGGTGGGAGAAAGCTGGAGTATCCAGAGAGATCCAGCACATGACAATGAAGAACATGCAAACTCTATGAAGAAATGGCTACCAGAGATAACAACTAACTGCTACCACGCAGCACAGTACACAGCCACTAGACCAAAGCTTCAAGATTATGATGACCCATCATTCCAGAGCAGTATCATTGTTGTGTATAGGCTGGGTATGGATCGATTTATTATTAAGCATCAGCGATGAAAAGAAGATTGGGTAAAGACCAAATAGAGACAGACTGGCAAAGCCTACGGCTTCAATAAAGAGATCAACGTACTAAAAACAAACTTTCTAACTGGACTAAAATGCAACATCTCCCCAGGCTGGTGGTGGGTTTATCAAAATCCATCATAAGGATCTTCTGTAAAATCATTCTGTGTGTACTTTTCTCTAAGGATACATCAAATATACTGGATCACATATTGGCAGTTTATTGTAATAACAGTAAATCACATGAACACAGATCCTTTCAAAGATCAGATGATTATGATATCAGTCTGTACCTGTGGGTTCTCATGAGGAGATGCCATGGCAAGAGCTACCAACTGAATAAACATATCAAGGTTAATCCTAAGAAGGAGACGGCAGCTGCAGCAACGGGGGAGACATTTGCAGTCTCTTGTGATGCTAATGGATGCATCTCTGAAGAGGCAGTCAGCTTCTAGGGCTTTTTTAAACCCTAATATCCTATGGGGACTTTTCAGTTCTGCTATTTTAAGTTAAGTGTTTGGATGCATGCTTGTGAGCTTTGATGAATCAAGGTACAGATACTGATCAGATTCACATTTTTTAATAGTGTGAATGTTCACACTTATTGCACTTTTCTTTTATATTTACCTTTGAAAACATTTGTTGCTGCTAGAAGAGCCAGTAGACATAATTTTTGCTGATAAACCAGCCCTTTTGAATTTTATTTGGAGAGGGTAGTTTTGAAAGTAGTTTACCCTTTATGGTTTTCTTGGATTTAATAAATACCGACAGTCAATTTGAAACTCTTTGCATATATGTTTTCAGAATGGGATTTTTCCGGTTAACAGGATTTATTGTTTTTCTAATCTTATACTTGCCTCAAATTACCTTTTTTGGGACATACATCAATGTTAGATTGTCATACTCGCCTGTAGGGAGGATTTATTACAGCCTCATAAAATCAACAATAATGGTAATAATACTTTTTAAGCAAATAGAGCTCTGGTATCGGAATAGTATTGGTATCGGCCGATATCCAAATTCATGTATCATATCAGATTGGAAGTGAAAAACTGTGGATCAGTGCATCCATAATTAAAATTAGACTTCAAAGCATCAAACTGTATAAGAATGCTTTGAACTTTGCAATTGTAGTGTATGTGGCCCTCATAACGGGAAAATTATTAAATTTTTATTTTCTCTGTAGGTCCCACAAACTGTTGAAGAGTGATGAGATGTACATTTGACATTTTGTTCTAATTAAGAAGCTCGATAGTTTGTATCATTTTGTGATAATTTTGTAGCTTTAATTATTAATAACGATAAAGGGTCAGAGGTGGGGTACACCCTGGACAGGTCGCCAATCCATCACAGGGCAACACACAGGACAAACAACCATGCAGACACTCATTCACACTTAAGGGCAATTTAGAGAGACCAATTAACCTAACAGTCATGTTTTTGGACTGTGGGAGGAAGCCAGAGTACCCAGTGTCAAGCATGTACGTGGAGAACATTCAAATTCCATGTTAAAAGACCCCGGCCAGGAGTCGAACCAAGGACTTCCTTGCTGAAAGGCAACAGTGCTACCAACTGCACCACCATGCAACGATGATAGTTTCCATGTTTTAAGGTATTTTAAACAGCAACAGTTAACCATCCTATGTCAACACTTCATTCTGAGAGGTTTCCTTATAGTGCCTGGCCCGCATCTCCTGTTTGTGTCTTTTCTTGATTGGAACAACTACCCTGAGACCCAAATATCAGGGAATGATACTTTTAATAGCTGGTCAATTAAATGCCATGTAGGATATCTATGTAAGCTTCACTCTAACCAAAATATGTCATCAGTGCAGTCCGGCCTGATCAACTGGGAATCACGTGAGTGTTTGGAAACCCTTAGTTTTTTCACTATTGCCTGTTTGTCTGCCTGCAAACATTCTTGAGAAGAGACTTCTCTGTTCCTGACTGGGTTCCAAAGACACGGATTCCTTCCAAATATCCAAGTTTGTAGGCAAACACCTATTGGCTCCTGTCATTTCTCAGACTGACCCGGGTCCATACTAACGGTGGAGGGCCGAGGTTCTTTTGACAGAGAGATATCCAGTCCGCTGGTTGAGAGTCTGAGATACAGAGTGCAAAAGACAGAATCTTCCAATGAGAGATTAGGAGGGAAATTTCCTGTGTTACTCTGCTGGTCTTGAAATGGGTAAAAACAGACCTTCAGACCTTTTCCTCCCCACTTTCCCCTGGATCTGATTGTGTTAGAGTTAGAAAGCTGATAAATACAGACAAGTGTAATTAAAGACACAAATGAACCAATTAAGTTTAACTTGCAAGGGAGAGACAGTCCTCTGCAGCACAGTGACTTCCTTCTCACAAAGGGAGAAGTCCTTGCACCAGCCTTTTATTCCTTCACATTCCTTCAAGTAAAAACGGGAGTTGGTTCAGCCAATTCTTGCAAAGATTTCAACATAAAAAGTAGTCATTCCTATATATGGTATAAGCATGTCATGTCCAGAGTGTAATCCACTCCAGACCACATTCCTTAACTTTCCACAAACTCTTTTTCACACTAAAAAAGCAATCACAGAAATCATCTTCGCTATAGTAGAAAGTAAAACATAAACCATGTTGAAACTAAACAATGATAATTTTTATACATTTTCCAACTATTCCCTCCTGTTTATTACTGATTAGTTTAATAACACATCCATGTATACACTTCCAAAAAGCTTTATGCATACACCTCATTAAACATTAAACTATTGTTAAATTTAGTGACTTCTCCTCCATAATGTCATCATAGTTCTGGTTCTTGTCCAGAAGTTGGTAATCCTGGGACAACATTGTATCAAAAATTCCTCCAACCATCCTTAATATCTGTGATACAGGGAATAACACACGGAGTAAAAAAGGCAAACAACAATAACACAGCGGTGACAGGTGTCATGATTTTCAAAAGCAGTTGCCACCACGGTCCAGAAGTAAGCCACGAAGAAAAGCTTCCTCGGCCGGGATGGACATCCTGCTGCATACCCCTTTTAATTAAATTTAATTGGCATATAGCAACACTCACTCTGTGTCCATCTTCGTCGTTGGTTTCATCAGGGATGTAAGTGCAGCAGGTCTCGTTCAGGAGAGCGCAAACTCCCCCGATAGAGGCCGTCATCAGCAGGTCCAACACCATCCTATTCTGCAACACCACAGTTCGAAGAGCTGTGACATCTGTTGATGGTCCTGTAAGAGCTTTTGTGGTTGCATTAACAAAGAGTCCCAGTCGATAATCTATAGTTTCTGATCTAAGCGTGTTCTTTTCTAAATTTAGCAAAACTTTATTTCCTGTTGATCTATGCTTGAATTCCTCATGTGGCTTCACATGGATGAGTTCCCTCTTTAGGGAAGGTTAAACTGAAATGACATAAGTGTGATCAGTGACATAAACAGGTGCACATACACCACTCCAACTTAGAAGCAACTGCAAATAAATGGCAGTTCCACACATCCAGTGAAATCCATCTATTGCACAAGTGCCCTTTAGACCATGGATTTTTCCCCTGGTTCAGCTTGGTGGGAAGGATGATAGTAAATTGTGTTACACATGCGCATTGGAATAGTCCCCACTGGGAAGGAACCGGTGCCAACAACACAATGAGAAAAATAGGAACCTGCAAGAAGCTCCACATCGTTGGACACAGGAGTTGTAACATTAAACTGTTTAAACTTTGTAACATCACAGTTGTAAAATGTTACATTACCCATTACCACGCAGAAACTGGTACAGAGACGCTGTTTCTGATAAAACACTCATCTCTTGGCGCTGGTACTGGTCTAGCTGTCAACCTGGGCTGGTTGGAAGAGATAGGAAGTTCAGTACATACATAACAACCAGAAATGTTTCTGGACTTGGTTA